GCGCCGCCGCCGTACCGCGCCGCCGCGCCCGCGTCGCTCGAGCCTCCGCTGCCGCTGCCGCGGCCAGTGCTGGCGCCGCCGCCAAGGTATGCGTCCGGGTCCCGCCCCACCCCGAGCAGAGCGCCCGGCGGCGCGCGCGGCGAGTCGGCGCCGCCGGGCCCCTTGGGCGCAAACGGCGGCGGCGGCGTCGGCGACGCGGCGCCGCGGGCGGCGCCGGGGTTGACGAGGGATTTGAGGAACCCGTAGGATGGGATCTTCCTGAATCCATCCAGGAAGCTGTGTTGGATGGGATTATGAAATTGTGGGGTGTTGAGGGGTTGGCGGCCGGCGTTCCGGGCGATTTTGGGGGGAGGGACACTCTTTGTCCAGGTTGGGGCCGCTCGGGCCTGAGCGAGGGCAGAAGCCGGGTGGCACGCCGCGGCGGCCCTGAGGGTCAAGTGCAGCCAACCAGAACTGCTCCAGGCAGGCGAGACAGCAGGGGGAGGGGCGAGAGGCTTTTCCGCGGCCCAGGGATGTCGGGGAGTGAGGGGAGCGCGAACAACGGAGCACAAGTCACGAGAGGGGCACAAAACAAGCGCGGCGGACCCACCCGTTGAGGCCTGAGAGGCCGCCCCTGTTCTGCCCCTCCTGGTTGGGCTTGGGCGCCTGCGGGCGCAGAAGCGCACAGGCGGCATCGCGTGGTTGGGCGGCAGCGTCGGCGGAGCGGACGCGACAGGGGGGGGGCGTCATCTGTGCCGGCGCACCGCACGCGCTTGCTTCGGCGTACGCGTTTGCATGCGCACGTGAACACACGCGTGCCCTTCATGTCGCGCGCAAGCTCTCCGCCCTCCCCGACAAATGTACGCGCACACGCACGGAGCCTGACGATCGAAGGAAATCCCCCTGTCTCGCACGCCCCCAGCAGGGTTCAGGGTTTCCCCACTCACGATCTCGCTCATGCGCCACCAGCCGTGCCCAGCCGCGTGGTCCAGGTCCTTCCGCGTGATGATGCCCGCCACGCAGTTCTGCCCGTCAACCACCAGCAGGTGGCGCAGGTTCAGGCCCACAAACGCCTTTTGGGGAGAGGGGGGGGGGGCAGGTGGTGCGGGCGGGGGCGCGTGCGTTCAGGGTTTGTGGGTTGGAGGGGAGCGGGGTCGGGAGCAAGGGGCAAGGGAGACACCGGGGGAGACGGCGGCTGGGGCCGGGCTGGTGGGGGGAAACTTCGCACACATGCTTCTTGGTGGACGTGATGAGGGGGCATGACGTGTCACCCTCATCAAATTCCTGACAATCCGGAGGACACGCCGCCCGCGCCGCGCGGCTCGCGGCTCGCGCCGTCGAGGACGTCAGGCCGGCGCCATTGCAGGACGTAGGCGGCGGTGTGTGCAGGGGGCCGCCAGCGGGGCGCGTCTGGCGGCTGAAACGGCAAGACGCTCAAGCGGGAGGACTGCTACTCGCTTTGCTTCTCGTTTCGTGAGCACCCTACGCGCCCTTGCACCCACCTGGTGCGCCCGCGACGCCGAGCAGTCCTTGCGGACCGTGATGGGCGACCTGTTCGCAAACGGCCGCAGGTCCAGGTACAGCTGCGACAGGTCGAGGCCGCCCAGGGAGAGGGGCGCGCCCGTGTCGAGCTGCAGCGCGTCAAGCGGCGTGGCTGACGAGGACACGTAGCGGTTGTGCGTGAAGTAGCGGCGGAAGAAGGTGCGCA